CCCCGCCCCCCTGCCGAGCCTGCCATAGGCTCATGGTGCAGTAAAAGTTGTGTTATCCGGCCTGTACCACCCAAAAAGCTCTATAAACCGGTATTTTTAATCTTTATGAAAAGTCAGTTTTATAGTCTGGTTGGCCCAAGAGCAGCAGGCTCCCTACCTGGCTCCACAGAAGCAGCGACCTGTCCCTCCTGCTCCTGGTGAGGGGAACCAAAGCCATTGAGAACTGTGGGGGCAGTACCAACAGGTAGAAGCAGTGTGCAAAGCTGCCTACCTGCACATTCTCCAAGAGCAGCAGGGTCTAGAGAGCAATCTGAGGTGAGCTCCTCCCTGATCTCACACCCCGAAACTCCCCCATATCCCAGCCCTCCCTCCACATCAAGCTCCCTCCCAGGGCTTGCATCCCGCACCATCCCATGTCCCTACATCTCCTCCCGCACCTCAACTCCATCTTTTAGTTAACCAGAATGTTTCAATTTCCCCAGCATGCCAACTAAAAACAGCATTTACTGTATGTACATATATGTAAGCTCTATTAGTATGTTACCTTTACTTTCAGCTTCTTCCAAGTCTTTTTTATTGGCCAACAGAATTTCTTCTCTCTGGTCAGTTAGTAGATCCGCTATGTGATAGATTATCTCTGCTCTCTACAGAGAGAGAAAAATCCTGTACTGTTATCATAGAAGCCAAGTGACTCGGGTATTCAGGCTCCGGGTCTCCTCAACCCCACTTCTTATCTACATACCTCTGGACCCTTTCTCCTCTGGCTCCTGAACTTGACTTCCAGCATACCTCAGACAGTTTACCCCTTGCAAGTAGTGGGACTACACAATTAAGCCTGCAGGCCCTGCTTCTGGCCTTTCCTGCATTTTGCCTGGTAGGTCTCTGTTCTTCCGTACCAACAAGGTGCAAGTGCCATGCTGTACACAGTGCCTTCCTGTACTCAGCCCAGCTGCAATGCAGTGGCACACTGAACAGTAGATTGCATGCAGCTGCTCCCTTTTGAGCAGTTTAAGGATCCTTTCAGTAAGAGCTATTGGGGCAGCTATTCTTTGGCATCCTCTACATGCAAATAGCTGCATTTGAAATAATTAGATCCATATAAAAATGCTGTTTCAAATGTACATAATTTCGTAATTACAGCTCGGTAGACCACATCCTTCTTCATCTCTCCCTCTCCCTCTCATGCAGGACATTATAATCTAAATGGTGGCCTTCAAAACAAGCGAGAATATGAGCTATTTGAGGCAGGGACCTGTCTTAAGTGTCTACTACTGTGACACGAGCAGTATACCCGTCAGTTCTAATAAATAAATGAAGCCACACTGGCATGTTACCTGGTCAGGCTGCAATGCTGCTAGGGACCTGCCTCCAGCTCGAGCCATTTCACCTTGTTGCTCTACCGTAGGGCCTGCGAAACACAAGAATTGGTGCTGTTCATAGCATGCATGTCTCAAGCTCAGAGAATGTTAAAGTCTCACACACACAGCCAAAAATATGAGAAAATAACTATCAAACTCCCCTCAGGAGCAGCCTGAGGCAGGCTGTGGCAGCTGGAGCCCCCGCCTGCACGGTGTCAGGCTCGTGGGGACAAAAGATCTATCTGGTTTCAAGATTAAACTAGATGGGTTTATGAAGGGGATGGTTTGATGAGATAACATGATCTTGGTAAATAATTGACCATTCATTATCAGTGGGAAATAGGTCAATGGAGGGATGATAGGGGATGATAGGAGTTACTATAGGGAACTTTTTTCTGGGTGTCTGGCTGGTGAGTCTTGCCCACATGCTCAGGGTTTAGCTGATCGCCATATTTGGGGTCGGGAAGGAATTTTCCTCCAGGGTAGATTGGCAGAGGCCCTGGAGGTTTTTCGCCTTCCTCTGTAGCATGGGGTACAGATCACAGCTGGAGGATTCTCTGCATCTTGGGGTCTTCAAAGTATTGAAGGCTTCAATATCTGAGATATAGGTGAGAGGATTATTCTAGGAGGGGTGGGTGAGATTCTGTGGCCTGCACTGTGCAGGGGGTCAGACTAGATGATCATAATGGTCCCTTCTGACCTTAAAGTCTATGAGTCAGTGGAGTGACATCATCATTGGGCACCCCGTGACATCATCGTCGGGTGCCCCATTGAAGGCGGTGCCCCAGACGACGGCTGAGTCGGCCTATAGTCACGGGCTGCCCCGACTCCTTTGCTTTATCTCACTACCCAGGAGATAGTAAGCATGTGATTCACACACGTTCAGGTAAAAATGCACATTCACAAAGCAAATTCATATTTCCATGAAAAACATTTCTATCAGGAAAGTACATTCCCCTTTCCCCCTACCCCAGATAAATCTGTGCAAAAATAAAAAGTCAGAAAATGATTTATAAGTAAATCCAGTACCAAAAGCCTAACCAAAACTCACAACAACCCAACAGCAGATATAACACAGTCATCCCGATCAATAACAGTTTCACAGCCCAGCAACCAACTTGCTCAGGAACTATATGTTCGAATACTGAAACTGTATTTTGCAACCTACCTAGTTAACCTTCTTTGCTCCACAAAGCACCTCTTTTCTTCACTTATGCTAATTTCTATAATTCCTAATCAGATGTAACAAACCATATTGTGGAATGGAGGTTGGTGCAAGGAGACCATCAGGACTCCTGGAATTGATTCTCAGTACTAGGAGAGGAGCACGTTCTAGTGGCAGGCAATCTGGACTCCTGGTTTCTCTTGACAATTAGTGTAAGTTAAAAGTTAAGAAATGCAGGCAACGGTTGAGATGCTAAAGATACTGACCAACTGTTCCAGTCAACAGAGTGAAAAACAATAAGGAATTATATATATAAATTATAGAATTACAAAAAGGAATCTTAATCACAAGGTAAATCTAGTGGGAGATGGTAAAGTATTTGGTAAATACTTCTGCTCACATCTGGAACCAACCTGGATATATTTAATAGCAGAAGACTTATCCAGCCTTGCCCATTTCCTTCAGGGTAGGGGGCTAGTGGGGTGAGGGATGCAGGAGACAGGGCAGGACCCTGGAGATCTGGGTGGCAGGGCAGGCAGCTTGGGGTGGGAGACTGAGGGTCGGGGGGAGGAGCTCGGGGTGGGGGTCCCATCCAACGAGGCCTTCCCTCCCCCTCCCAGTCTCACCCCAGGCCACCGAGGCCTTCTCCCTCACTCACTCAGCCTCCAGGGGCCTTTTCTCGCCCCACAGCTCGAAGCCTTTTCTCTTCCCTCCCAGTGCTGTGGCTAAGGACCAGGGAGCAAAGGGGCAGGGGAGCTACTTACCCGGCCTGGTGGCAGGCAAGATGGTGAGCCCCAACCCTGCTGGCCACTCACTTGCTGGTGCAGCTGCTCCCAGTGGTCTCTCTACAGCAGAGGTGGGCAATAATTTCTGGAACCCCCTATCCTGAACCTCTCATCCCCAAACTCCTACATCCCCACATCCTCAGTCTTCTGCCACAACAGTCCTGCACCATCCACACACCGTAATCTGTGTCCTGAGCCCATCATACTCCCAACCTCTCTGCCCTGAGCCCTCACATACCCAACCCAAACTCCTGCACCCTCACATCCACAAGCCTGTGGCTTGTTCAATACCCTAACCCTACACCTGACCCCAACTCTCCCCAGCCAGGAGCCCCCTCCCCAAGCCAGCATCCCCTTCTCCACATCCTCCTGCATCCAAATTGCCTTGGTATAATATGCACCTCTCACCCTTTCCCACACCTGTGCTTGGTATAATATTCTTTACCTTAGTAAAGGAAATCATCTGCAAACACTTGGAAGATAAGAATGTGATAGGGAACAGCCAGCATGGATTTGTAAAGAACAAATCATGTCAAACCGATCTGATAGCTTTCGATAGGATAACGAGTCTTATGGATAAAGGGAGAAGCGGTGGATGTGGTATACCTAGACTTTAGTATGGCATTTGATATGATCTCGCATGATATTCTTATCAATAAACTAGGCAAATACAACTTAGATGGGGCTACTATAAGGTGGGTGCATAACTGGCTGGATAATAAATACTCTCTACGAATGGTTAACAGTTCACAATCCTGCTGGAAAGGTATAACAAGTGGGGTTCCACAGGGGTCTGTTTTGGGACCGGTTCTGTTCAATATCTTCATCAACAAATTTAGATATTGTCATAGAGAGTACACCTATTAAGTTTGCAGATGATACCAAGCTGGGAGGGGTTGCAACTAATCTGCAGGATAGGGTCATAATTCAAAATGATCTGGACAAATTGGAGAAATGGTCTGAGGTGAACAGGATGAAGTTTAATAAAGACAAATGCAAAGTGCTCCACTTAGGAAGGAACAATCAGTTTCACACATACAGAATGGGAAGTAACTGTCTAGGAAGGAGTACGGCAGAAAAGGATCTAGGGGTTATAGTGAACCACAAGGATCTAGGGGTTATAGTGAACCACAAGCTAAATATGAGTCAACAGTGTGACGCTGTTGCAAAAAAAAGCAAACATGATTCTAGGATGCATTAACAGATGTGTTGTAAGCAAGACACGAGAAGTCATTCTTCTGCTCTACTCTGCGCTGGTTAGGCCTCAGTTGGCGTAGTGTGTCCAGTTCTGGGCACCACATTTCAAGAAAGATGTGGAGGAGCTGGAGAAGATCCAGAGAAGAGCAACAAGAATGATTAAAGGTCTAGAGAAAGCGAAGTTACTCACCTCGGTGCAGTAACTGTCATTCTTCGAGATGATGTCCCCGTGGGTGCTCCACTGTTGGTGCTGGGCTTGACCCGGCGCTACAGAACGGAGATTTTTCCAGAAGCAGTACCCCGCTGGACCGCGCATGCGCCACGGTGTCTCATGGCATTAGTGCTCCTTTGACTAAATGCACGGTCTGGCCAGTTCCTTGAGGCCACCTCAGAATCTGTAACACAAGAGAAAAACGGACTCCGAAGCAGGGAGGAGGGCGAGTAGGGGAGCACCCATGGGGACACCATCTTGAAGAACGACAGTTACTGCACTGAGGTGAGTAACTTCGCTTTCTTCTTCGAGGATGTCCCCGTGGGTGCTCCACTCTTGGTGACTGAAGAGCAGTAGTTGCCAAATCGGAAGGCAGGAAAACAGAGTCACTATCTTTCTGTTGTGGAAAGCACTGCTGATGCCACCACAGAGTCCAACTGCCTCCTCAGAAGGAAGAAGTAGTGTTTAATAAAGGTGTCATGTGTGGACCACGTGGCTGCTCTACAAATATTTATCAGGGGAACTCCCTTAAGGAAGGCCACAGAGGTTGCCATAGCCCTAGTGCAAGGGTGCGCTGGGAGCGGAATATTCTTGGAGGCATAGGCCTCTGTTATGCAAGTAGTTATCAGTTTAGAAATTTGCTGCGATGATAAGGGCTGGCCTTTAGATCTATCAGCTAGGGATAGAATTAGCCGATCAGTTGGTCTAAAAGGTCTGGTATGGTCTAAATAGAAGGCCAAGGCTCTTCGGACGTTGAGTGTGTGAAAGGCCATGTCTCGCAGAGAGGCATGAGGTTTCGGGTAGAATACCGGAAGAATAATTGGTTCATTCATGTGAAAACTCGATACTATCTTAGGAATGAATCTGGGATAGAGTCTGAGGACTACCCCCTCTTTATTAAAAACGGTGTATGGGGGCATTGCCATTATGGCTGATAACTCGCCCACTCGACGTGCTGATGCAATGGCTAATAAAAAGACCATTTTCATCATCAAAATTCGTAGAGATATGGTGGCGAGTGATTCAAATGAGGGAGCCATCAAGGCTTCTAGGATGGTATCCAAGTTCCATACCGGAGGAGTGGGATTGCGTGGTGGGCTCACGTTTGTAAGGCTCCTGAAAAAATGTTTAATGGTTGGGTGGGCAAAGAGGGAGGTGTCATCAAACGGTTGCCTGAATGCAGAGATCGCTGCCTGGTGGACTCAGAGATGCTATCGAGAGTCCTGTTTGTTTTAGGTGGAATAAGTAATCAAGGATGTTTGGAAGAGCCATTGACTCAGGGAGCTGACGGTTGGCGGTACACCAGGATGCGAACCTGTGCCATTTGGAAAGGTAAGTTTTCCTGGTTGTTAGTCGTCTACTATGGATGAAGATACGTTTCACCTGCTCAGAGCGTAAGGATTTGGACGGATTCAGCCAGTTAGGAGCCATGCTGTAAGTTTGAGGGTGTGAATCTGGGGGTGTCGCAGAGAACTGTCATTCTGAGTAAGGAGATCCGGAAGTAATGGAAACTGGATCGGCCTGCGAACGACATGTGATGGAGGAATGGAAACCAATGCTGGCGAGCCCATGCTGGAGCTATCAATATGATCGTGGCTCTGTCTGATTTCAGTTTCTGTAGAACTTTGGGGATGAGGACTATGGGAGGAAAGGCGTATAGAAGAGATACTCTCCAGTTGGTAAGGAACGTGT